CGACGCACCTAATACCCTTCGTAAAAGAAAAGTAAGGTTCATCAATGAGCACCTTCTCAACAATACAGCACAAGAGAGCGACAGAGAGGATCTCGAATTTACCGCCCAGTATGTCTGCCAAGCGTGCTTTAGTCCTTCACGGAGATAAATATCACTATTTCAGGGACGATGAAGTCCAATCTAAAGAACAAGCTGGATTTTGTAAAAAATTTAGCTGCGTGGACCCCATCCGAATGATTTCGGAATATCGAGTCCCAGAGTGTCGTCTACCTCTAATCTTCGTCAACTTTGCAAAAAGTTTGGCAGTTTGCGATGGGAACATACTATCAACGCTCGCCCACTTAAGGAGAAACCATTTACTTTACTTTCTTGAGAGCAATGGCCGACTGCTACAAGAACTACTCTAACGCGGTACGGCTTTTTCATAGCTTTCTTAGAATACCGGCTGCAAAGACGTCTGACAAGGTGACACTGTGCCGCCAAAGCTGTTTTTTTACAAGGCCTTACAGTGGTTGCGAAATGATGTGAGATTCCTTCCGAACCATTATTTAAGGATCAATGTTTCTGTTGTGATATAATGAATTCTGAAGCAAAGACGATGTTAGAATTAAACAAAGTAGAGTCTGCGAAGCAACCAAAGAAGACTCAATTCATGTAGGGATCAGAAAATGGATTAAAAGGCTCTTTGTTCGCGGGTCTTTTTACTTGTCGTGAGTTCGGAAGGATTTTTTAAAAAAATTAAATGGGGGCGAAGAGTAGTTGAGCCGTTTTCGAGTCCCTAAAGAAAGCCACATGCCAGGTGGCGGACCTAAAGCTCCGAGCCCTCTTGTTTGATTTAACAATTCTCCTAGCGCTCCGCTACGCAGCAGAGATGTGGCTTGACCCTGTTGCTACTAGGAAGTGACTCCGAGCAACCCATAGGTGAAACGGCTTCTTCTATAGTACAATGGACATCTCTGCAATTCCTATGAATTCCTGCTTGCCATCAGGAGACTTGTGCCATACCTCGGCACAAGACTCCTGATGGCAAGCAGGAATTCATTTCTTGGAAAAAGAAACGGGACATTGTACGGAGCGGGGAAGAGCCTGGAGTTCATTTCATTTCTTGGAAAAAGAAACGGGACATTGTACGGAGCGGGGAAGAGCCTGGAGTTCATTCCAATGGCCACTCTCTCAGCAAGAAGGTTAAAGCTCCCTTCACCTTTCTAGGGGAAGTTCACGCTGCTCCATGTGTTCTTGTTTTATTTATAATTACAGTAACTACATACACACTCTATGACCGTAAAACCTTTAATAAAAGTTCGATACTCCAGAGACAAGATAACAAAAGTGATAGTGATTTTAACTGAGGACCCTTGTAGAAAGTGATGGTGGTTTTTGATACGCTATGGTAGCTGAAGAAGAAATAACGAAATTTTCTTGATTCAAAAAGCAATTAGTGGGGAGGTTTTTTTTCAAAGTAAGCAATGAAAAATGTTGCAAAAATGACATAACACTTCCTTCAAACATTCTGCAATCATTTTCTTTGTCCCTCTTCCTCTTCGTACATATACTCCCAAAATTGTAGAGCTACAGTCGCCTTCTTACACAAAAATGAAATTGTGAACTGACATGAATCAACATGTTTTAACGCGTTTGACACTCTTACTCCTCGAGCAGTCAATTGAATTTTGAACTTCCGCGCTCTAATTGCATACTTTTTTCTCTTTGGGACCAAGGGCGGAAAATGGGGGAAACGCGGAGAACAGCAGAGAGATTTATGGGATTACGAGAGTGGTCACGCGAGATTCATGGTAGTGTCCTCAAATTATAAAGTCAAGCGTTGATAATGAGAGTGAAAGTAGAATCATTCTTTTAATTTTAAATAAGAAACGACCTCAAGAGAAAAGTCATTTTCGCATGTTGCTTTCAAATTTTTCTCTTAAATTCATAATTTCTGAAAGTTGCGCAGTTGCCGTTCGTTCTAAAGCACAATGTTGCGAACGGAATAGTTTTAAGGTTGAGATAGTCTAACCGCAAGAAATCTTTAAAAAGTCGTAAAAAGGGATCCTTTGGTGCGCCCTTTAAAATAATTTGCTGGATAACAAAACTGAAAGTTGCGCAGTTGTCAGCTGTATTGTGAATAAAATTTCCTTTCGAATGAGAGAAAAAACGAAATTAAAAATTCAATTTGACTTAACAATTGAGGAAAACAAAAAAACACTGTTTTTCTTATTTCATTATCACCCAAAAAATTGAACGTTGCGCAGTTGTCTGTTCAGATGTACGTTTCAAGGTCTTCGTAATGATAAACGATTCGCTTACATTAATTTGCAAATAACGGGGAAAAGGGCACCAAAGCCGAATGCCTCGTGGAAGACGCTTGGTTGCGTAGAGAGTGTGCAATTTTGAGAGGAGGAGGAGAACGATCAGACCCGACGAGGAATTTGGCTCTGATGGCTTATCTGGGCTCCTACTCAACGAAACCCCCAATATCCATATGTCATTCTGCTTAGAATCGTATGAAGAATCCAGCTGAAAACTGCGCAACTTTCATAAGTTCCACCATTACGAGTTCTTCTTTATATTCTCTTAACTTTCACTACTCAAGGCTTTTTGACGTGCATACTTCTAGAATTCAATTCCTAATCATGATAACATTACTTCTAACGATATATGCTTTTCGAATTCTTAGACACATCAACTGTTTTGAAAGAACCAGTTATAGAGCGATTTCAGCACTTACTCCTCACATTTTGTGGATGTTTCAACTTCAACTTCTACCTTCAGAACTACGCCTTTTCATTTTTCATGGACCTCATCATTGTCCCCACAATTCTTATGTACTACGACATCTTAATCTTATTTCGTCAACAATTAATTGAGAACTTCCTCCCTTTATTGGTCCTATACTTCTCGATCTTCAAATTTCTAGAGTTACTCAAACTCTATTAGGTGAGAGTCCTACTCCACATTGGCTCATTAGTGAAGGTGACCGCCTTCGCTCTATGTGTCTAATCTATGGCTTTGATACAAGTTCAATATTTGTTTTATGAGGGCGTTTGTACGGAAAACCCAAACAACTTTCAAATTTACACAAACCCGTCTAAGCGAATAGGCAATGAACAACTACGAAATTGACGTGAAGATGCGCAAGACCTCGACCTCCGAGCAAGCTTGTGTTTTTCATCAATTTTTAAATATCAACCACTTTTTATGCGCCCCTTGAATCAACTCAAAGCGCAAAATCCAGAACAAAGCCTCTCTTTCTGGCCGTAAATCGTTTTAGCTTGATTTTAAAAAACGCACTGCAAGTAAACAGCGCTGTAGTGCTTCTCATGTTTGCATACGTTTGTACAGGTTATAAAGGGGTTTCGTAATTTCCTGAATGTTCAAGTGGTTATTCGTTCTTGTAAGGTTCAATCAAAGACATCGAGTCGAGGCCTGAGGTTTGACATCTTGTGGCACTTTGGCAGCTTAAATATGAGATCAAGTTCCGTCTTTGCGATCCAGCGGAAAACATCCCTCAAACAAAACATCGACGGGCTGGACAGACGAAAGATGGGCGTTACAATTTCGAATGGATCCCTCTCAAAGCAAAACTTTTTGAAGCAGACTACCAACCAGATGGGCCGATGTTTCGTTGCAGGGACGGACCAGCTAAAATCTCAGTTGTAACGAAATGGATCTGCACCTCGCG